TAAAACTGTTTATGTGAACATATAATAAACCTTTACATAACCATCAGTATGCAGTACTCCCTTATTCCAGTAGAAATCCTTTAATATTCCTGCTGAAAGTGCTACAGCTAGCTGCTGCTGCCATTTCTGCTCACAAACAACTATATGTACATTTACATATAATGAAAAAAAACAAGACTGACACCGATGCTTTCTATCAACTTTTTGAGAGTAGCGTTGTTTTAAGACATCTCTGTTTGATCTTGTTGCTGCTGTGACTAGTCATTAGCTCATCAGTTCATCTGATCTAAATTGATTTTCTTTAAACTGAGGCTGTTTAAAGAGCCATCCCTAACAGGTAAGATATTAACTGTCCCTGTTCTTGTCAAACAGCCTCACATCTAAAATTTGATTAATTGAAGGTTGCAACTTTTCACTTATGCCTCGTTATTATTATATTTTATTATCAGCAGTATTTTCTTTCTTTTCTACTTCATGATTATGATCAGTTCCTTAATGTGACTCCTCCCATTTCATCTAAAAATGCTTCCCAGAGTCAAAAAACTCGAGTTTTACTCCAAGCTGATAAACAGACTCTGGATTATTTTAACCAGATTACTCTAAATGTGTCGCTGTACTTACAGTCTCATGTTGAACCCAAACCAAAAGGAACTTAAGCGTTTGCATGACGTTATTTTAAAAACAGTTTATGGATGTATTCATGTGGGCTCATTTACAATGTTTCAGATATGCTGACCAACGGTTGAAAGAGCTCCATGTAATTCTATCATACATCTTCCTTCCTTAGGAGAACTTTTATTTTGTTGAAGTAAACACGAGAATGATGCTTGCTCTGTTTATCTGAGGAAGTGACAAACGTCCCCTTTGCTCAGTTAGCTCTGATAGTTGGGACACCTCGTGATTCTCATGACTCCACCACATTACCAGACACCCCCTAATGCACCATAAAGATAAACAAAATCTCTCAGACTGCAGGCTTACTTGCAGTTCCTATAGTTTACAAGAGCAGAACGGGAGGAAGATCTTTCAGTTGTCAGGCTCCTCTCTTGTGGAACCAACTTCCAGTTTCTATCCGTGAGGCTGACACATTGTCCAGTTTTAAAACTGGGATTAAGACTTCCGTTTTTGATAAATCCTATAGTTAGGGTTGGCTTGTTATGCTGTCATGTAGACTGCTGGAGGACAAAATGACCTCAAAATGAATTGTTACAATTGAATAGTTTTCATTTGATATTATTTCTATCTTAACATGTGATTCTGGACCTGCCATTGTGTATCTGTTCCTCCTTCCTATTCCTCTCAAACCCAGCCGGTTTATTATTATTATTATTATTTTTGTTATTAGACCTTTATTTATGCAGGCTAGTTCCCACTGAGCCTCAAAGACTCATTTACAAGAGAGATTTGTTAAAGTTGAAGCAGATGGACACTTGTCCTGCGTCTGGTTCTGCTAAAGGTTTCTTCCTCATGAGGGAGTTGTTCCTTTCCACTGTCGCCTTCATGCTTGCTCAAGATGAGAGTCTGCGATGGAGTTAAACTCAAAGCAGTCTGCTCCACAGATAAATAATATTATTATTATTTATTCAAGTTTATTTCCATGTTGGAGTCGAGGCAGACATTTTGGTCTGTTAGCCCACTGGTTTAGCATCAAACAGGAACCCTTCTTCTCTTCCTGAGGTTCCATCTGAAATGGAAAGTAACGAAAGGCTTTTCTCCCTGTTTAAAAAGAAAAGTCATCAAGGGAGAAGAGGAGAGGAGGGATGGAGCCTCATTGAAATGCAAGTTACATTCCCCCCTTTTTTCCTCTCCTTTCTCTCCTCTGGGACCTCATGCCTTTCTCCTCCTTCTCCTTCCCATCTTTCAGGGCGCTCCCTCAGCTCCCTCTCTTCCTTTGTTAATCAGTTAAACTCCCCTTTTCAAACAACCCCTCTAATTACTCCTCCGCTCTCTGTAAACGACAGGGCTGTCTCCTGATTCTCCTCTCCTTCTTCCATCCTCGCCTCCCCCAGCTCCCTCCATCCATAGCAGAGGTTGACCTCTGTCAGCCTCCGACCCCTCAGAAGTGTGTGCCTGCCGGCGTGTGCGCATATTGTGGGGCAACTTGTGACTTATTCTCGCATGTTAATGATACAACTGATGTCCTATGTTTTTTAATCTCGCTATTATTAGTGGCTGGAATTAATACGGAGAGAGGCTGTGTGACTCCGCCCACATTTGAGAGTGTAAATGCATTTATATTAACGCTCACACTTTCATCGCTTCAGGCTCTAGGCCACATGCTCATCTTCCGAAAGCCTACTTATATAGTTTCTGTCTATTTCTGTATGGCACCTTTAAAACTTTATCTTTTCGTCATTATTTTACATTTCTTCTCTCTTCCTCGCTTTGTCCTCGGATAGCATCCCTCCTTCAGTCTTCTCCCTGCTTGCACCTTCAACCTCCCCCCGCAGCTTCACCTCCCTCCCACTAATCTACCACGCATCTCTCGCTTTTAAATTAACATGCAACATGAAAAAAATTGGTCGACAGCGAGGGGGGAGAGAAAAAAATTAAATGCATTTAATAAATGGCTGACTTCAAATCACCCGGCTTTTCAGACTCTCCCTATTCACAGTCCAATGAAAGGGGAGAAATCATTCACCAGGAGAGACAAAGCCGAATGAAAATATAATTCTGCATTGTGAGGCGCTTTTGTCCTGGCCCGTCAAATCGCTAATGGCGAGGCTTTTGTTTTGTGGTGGGGGGCTCTGAGGCTGGCGGTGTCGTATGGCAGTGGCAACGCATGCCCCATAATCACCACGCTTTGTGATATTAGATTATAGGGGCAATTAATGGCGTCAAACCTTAACTACTCGACAGTCAGCCTGCCACACACACGCTCACACATCCAGTACAGTAAGTCTGCACACCGGAACACACACGTGGTTCAGGCATCAGAACGTGAGCCAACACACAGAAAGGTGCTATAACTCCAGTAATTATTACAGCCGTGACTTGAAAACGTCAGTGGTGGTGTGTATAAAATAGACTGTACGAGTAGTCGGGGAGGAAGAATGGGATGCACAAGAGCAATTAATTATAGCTTTTCATTTGGCAGCTTAGACTGACAAGGCCCAGTTGCGGGGGCAAGCTGGCATGACGCCAAACGGCACCCATCACCACCCCCGTCTTACTCGCACTGATCCGCCTCCCCCTCGCCCCTGCTCTCCTGTTCCTTTGCCACAACGCCACCCGTCACCCCGCACTGACTCAGATATCTGCCCTCAAACGCAAACTCTCGCACTGCGTCCCATTCATCCGTGCAATCACTCCTCTTCCTCTGCACGCCACACCCACCTGTGCCCTCGCCTGACATGTGTTCCCCCATTGCATCATCATTATCTGTAAGAAGAGAGGAAGACAGACAACAGGTTGTAGAGACTGTCCGAGACAATTGTGTTTAGACATATTTTTAAAAGTCAACTTCAACGTGATAAAAGTCGAGTCGACGTCAACGAGTCGATGTGACGTCACAGGAACTCAAGATGCTATATCATATTCACAAAATAATGTCATTTATTATTTACACACAAAAAAACGAACAACAAAACATCATGAGCGTGTATTCATGCTCCTACCGTTTATCATGCTGCAAATAAGTCACAGGAAAACCAAAACCATTATTAAGCTGCAAAAGTTTCATTTTATTTAACCCACAAAATAAAATAAACCACCCGTTTACCGTGGTGCGCACCCGTTTTTATCTTTATTTCATTTAGTCGATTAAATAAACTTAAAATAAAAACGGGGGGCTGGTGATCAGCGCTGGGCCGTGACACGTGACACAATCACATTACTGCGACTGGTAGACGTGAACTTAAAAAACTTGTGAGATGTCCTAGAATCGACTAGTCGATTCAACCCCTACTTTTTACAGATTTATTTTACCCGTGACGTCCTCTTCCATCCCCTCAGGTGGTAAATAAATGTTGTTTCTTTCATTCTGAAGTAGTTCTCTTACACCATGACATGGGTCGTGGGGGGGATAAGCTAAAGCATTATTGCTGCAAAGGCAGAGAAAGAGGAAGCACTCTTTCAAAATCAATCTCAACCCTTCGAAAATATTTCCTTCCTGCGTCTTTTCATCCCTCGTATTAACAGTAGTTTTCATCCGCTGTTCCTCCAGCAGTCATCGATTTTAAAAGTGCTTTGTCAGCGGGATTTGTTTCTATGGTTTGTCTTCTTTTTTTGTGTGCATTTGCGCTCTCCGTTTCATAATTATGTGGTAAGTTTGTCATCAGAGTTGCACTGTTTGTAGTCAGATTAGCATCTCTGTACGTTTCTGTGTACAAGGCACCAACACCCAGCGTGGTTGCAAAAAATACACACGCAAATCTGCAGAAATCACAACTTCTTCCTATCTCTTTTTTTTTTTTTTTTTTGTTTCGTGAACTGCCTTCAGCTTTATCTGATGAGATATTCATCTCAACAGATACCCATTTTGTTGTTCCTTTCCTCTTAGCCAGGCCCTGACTTCTTATGGGGAATAAGAATCAGAGCCGGTCGTAATCACGTGTTTATAAAAGCAGATAAGATTTTGTATTTTATTGGTCGATTACATATCTGTCCTTTCATCTTGGATGGCTGCTGCAGGAACTGATGGTTTTTTGAACAGTGCCAGCTTTGTGCAGGGCAGTGTCAACAATATGTGTCTGTGTTTGAGCGTCTGTTTATCTTTATCTGATGTTGTCAGCTTTTCCTCTTAGTGACTGACAACAAAGAATAAGAGGCAGCGCACTTCTTTAACTAACCGCGTCATGCCAGCATCCTTTAGCGCCACATTCGGCTGCTTGTTTTAAGTTGTGCTTTCAGTTGCAGGTACAGTCATGCTCAAGGCTGTCTGTGCTGACAGAGCCTTTTTACACAAAGCCCCACCTGCTGACTGACTGAGCTGTCCTGGTTTGGCTGATATTCTTGGTGTGTGTGGAGTTTGAAATGTTTGTGTGTGTGTTTGTCTCCAGGTGCCTGTGTCTATGGCCATGATGAGTCCACAGATGATCACTCCTCAGCAGATGCAGCAGATCCTGTCCCCTCCTCAGCTCCAGGCTCTGCTGCAGCAACAACAGGCTCTTATGCTCCAGCAGGTAAAAACACACACCTTCATTTTACACAACGCGTGGTCAAAATGTGGCCCAAGGGCCCAAAGAAGTCTTTGGACTGTCATTAATCTGACCCTTAACAGCCATAAATAGAATAAGAAAACATAAATTAATAAAAAGTTAATTTTTAATGACTCCTGAGGAAAGTGCAAAGTCTTTGCTGTGGTTTTACTGTTTCTAACAAAATTATTGTTTATGCTTTGTTCAAAAATAAAGGTTAATTTTTTATTTGTTTATCTTTATTAAGCGAGTTTAATAGTTGAGCTCACAGAATGCAAAAAATAAAAATCTACAAGAAAAAGAAGAAAAAATTTAAATGTGGGAAGTAGCTGTGTTGTTATAAGCCTCATTTTGTATGTTTGCTATTCCAAACAATTTTACAATTGTTGATTTTTGACCAAACATGCTAATAACCATTTTATAAACTGGTCTTCAATTAGATAAAAAAAATAACTAAAACTCCTGACAGTGTCAACCCACATATTAGATTGTTTAGTTTACTTTTTTCTACAAAGCTGTCAAACAACACAGAAACTGATTCTTTAACTGTATATATTTTAAAGATTATATGATTTCCTTTCTTTAATACATGAAGACATCTTTATGATTAGTGCATGGTCCATCAATTTCTCTGTTAAAATAATTTAATTGGTAGAATAATAATTGCGATGCCTAATTTAGTTTTATTCTGCTGTTTTACATGTAGCGTTATGGTTAATTTCCCTTAATATAAAAAAAAACAACATGAACTAAAGTCTGTTGCAGACTAGATAACTAGTTTTACACAACAAAAATAAACATGTTGACATTGTTTTTATGAAATGAATGTCCCATTTCACAGAGGAATATTTTAACTGTTGCTTTTTATGACTTCAACTTAAGGACCACGGGCAGGCATAGGCGTAGGAATAGTCCCAATCCTGGTCCTAAAGGGACACATGTCATAGATGTCTCCCTGCTCTTTAACATGTCTTCAATTTCTGCAAAAGCCTGTTAGTCACTCATTCGCTCAAATCAGGTGTGCCAAAGCAGAAAAAAAGTGTTAGAGGTTTTAATGATACACCTGATTTGAATGAACGAGTGATTTACAGGCTTCTGCAGAACTTTTTAGGTGCACTAAATAGCAGGAAAACAGCCAGAACATGCAGGATAGTGGCTCTCGAGGACTAGTATTTGACACCAGGGTATGAAGTTTAACTTAAATCAAGTCCTTTATAAAAAATAAAAAAAAGTTGCCCACCTCTGTTTTAGACCCATCTCAGGTTGGTATTTTATTTTAAATCATATTTGACATGGCTGTGTCCTTGAAGATAAGCAACGTCTACATTATCACTCAGAGGCATCACACAGTTGTTTGGTGAATAATGTGCTTAGAGTTATTTGCACATCTGCACTCAAAAAGATGCATATTAGCATATAAAAATGATTCGCCGTTAGCCATGGGTGTGTGCGTTGGCGCAGAAAAGTTGCCATGTTGACACGATCTCGAGTAGATTTGTCAAATACTTAGCTGCACAGAGCAAAGCGCACATGGAGAGGGTGTGAAAATGTCGGTTCACATTGTGGAGTAATTGCACAGTTGAGGTCTTCAAAACACCACAGACACGCTCAGGAAAACCGGAACACCTTGTAGATTTATTAAGAAGCGATAGCTTTAGGCGAGTGTAAATTGCATTGGGAACATCTGACAACATATATCATAATAGAAATGTGCAATGTGCCTGGTTTTCTGGAAACAGACGCGCAGATGGCTGAGAACCTCCTTAACAACTCTTTTTTTTTTTTTCCTGTAACAAGAAGAAGAAGAAAAAGGAGAGCGGTTGATAATGCACTCTCACTCACTGCACTGCTAATAAAAACCACTGAGTTTAACATTGCTCTCTCACTTAATTAACCACAGTATGGACCACGCACTTAGAATATATCTGCAAATCAGGCACTTTTACACACACGAGACAATCAACTAACACATCACTCACTGAAGCATTAAATTTCATATCCCCATGGCAATAGTGCTCTGTGTAAAAGTGTGTAAGTAAGTTTTACAGCCCATTGCTACAAAGTACTTGTGTGTTTGTCCGTGCACAGGTTTGTAGATCTGCATGCGTGCTTGTGTGTTGACCTTTAAGTTTCATCTAACCTCTCCGTATGCTATGGCTGCTTTGCCTTTCTTTCTTGGCATATTCACTAAAGTCAAGGTCATGGTAATAGGCTGGAGAGGTGAGTGCTTCGCTTTCACATACACTTAATGTACAGAGCCACTGAATCAAATCATTAAAAGACCTTAATTATCACTTAATTATTCCTTCAACTCACCACTCTCTCCAGCCAAGTGTGTGTGTAAGTGTGTACGCCTGCTTCCCTGCGTGTGTGCGGGCTTGCATATGCATTTGTCTGTGTGATTAGGAGGCGATCAGGACTAGTGACGCAGAAAAGAGAGATTAACTCCGCCTAAGGGGTGATAAAAGTGAAGAAAGACAGATGGAAAATAAAGAAAGGGCAGCGAGCAGAAATGAGTCCTGCTTTTAAAATAAATTAAGGACAAGAAGGAGCGTCACAGGGAAAAGACTTTCAATTGTGCAACAAAAAAGAAACTGTGGCTGAGTTAGGATTGAAAGTGGATAATGTGAAGCAGCTTTGCAGTGCAGTGGGTGTGTGTGGCGGGGATGGGCAGCGGTGTGTAGTCTGCTCGCTGCAGGGTCAGACGAATGAGAGACCGAAGCAACTGCTGCGCTGTGAAGTCATTCTCTGCTGAAAAGCCTCTTTGAACATTTGATGCACCATGAAACAAAGACAAACTGCAGACGGACACATGTACAAGCTGTTCTCCAGAGAATAACCCCCTCTCTGCACACACACACACACACACACACATGCACGCTCACAGAGCAACACACACTGTGCAGGGAGAGTTTTCCTCTCCGCCTGACTCTCCTCACAGCCAGATTGTAATCTTAATGGAGCTTCCTTGGTAAATTAATGATTACTAAGTCAAACAAACAGACAAGCCGTGGCCAGTCAGAGGACACTGTGTGTGTTTGTGTAAATGAGTGGAAATATTTGTGAGTGTGTGTTTGTGTCTTTGTTTTCATTAACACAATGTTTAATTTAATAATGCTAGATTATTGCTCTGCAGTATTCAAGCCTTTTTTTTTTTTTAAATAAGAAAATGATTAGGAAAAGTCATGTTTTTTAAGGGTCTGTGGAAAAAATATGTACAGTAAATATCTTACCTGTTGTAAATAGCTCTTTGATCAACCTATATTTTTTTAGAGATTGTAGGTTGATTTTGACCAGAGTGACAAGCTAACTGCTAGTCCAAAATAGTGCCTAGATCTAAGTGGATTCCTGGCATATTAAAGTGACTCTTATCACAAAAATTTCACAGCAGTTCATGAGAGCTCTCTTTCATAAATGTTAACAGGGTCATCCATTTCCCATTACACTGTTTATCCAACAGAAATCTCATGCTATTCCTGCTGGAAGTACTGATACTGCAACTTGTTCTTGCAATTAAGTAAATCACTGTGAAATGGTAAGGATATAAAGTTAATTCATGACGCACATTTAAAACAACTGCTATTGACCAACGTTCTGTTATAGCGGACAATGTATAAAAAACTAAGAAAATAACTAAAATATAAGAGTATCAATGCAATTCAATTCAATTACGTTTATTTATGTAGCACCAGTCACAACAGAAGTCGTCTCAGGACACTGAACAGAAACATTCATATATAAAAATAATAATTTAACATTATTTATCTGAGAAGCAGACTGCTTTGAGTTTAACTCCATCACCGAACCCTCATCTTGAGCAAGCATGAAGGCGACAGTGGAAAGGAAAAACTCCCTCATGAGGAAGAAACTTTTAGCAGAACCAGGCTCATGATACCTAAAAGTATATATAAAAGTATATATAAAACAATTTTACTCTCATACAGAATGAAAAGCCAAAGAATACAAATGTATGAGGAGAATATATGAGGTTAAAAAATAGCAAGCGGGAGGGCAACTGGTTCTGCTGGGGACGAGAAACTGGTGTGAAAGTAGAGGTTTTTAAAACTGTGTTGCTCAAAGCTGCATTGAAATGCTTGAGATTGAAGTTGTTTAAAGACAGCAGCAATCCACTATGGTGTTGGCGCTATTAGCTTGTTTAATCCTGTCAGGAATAATCTCTATTTTCCAAACTGAGGTTCTTCAAAGAGCCATCTGCAAAAGTTAAGATATTAATTGTTTATAACCTTTCTACAGAACCCCGCTTTAAAAACTCTGGACTGTTGCTTTAACAGACATAAATACACCTCAGTGTCACTTCGTTAGCACTCATCTTATGATGGACGATGCACAGCTTCAAAATAATACATACAGAATCTGGAGCCACTTCTTTGTACGTGATATCAAAACAGCCTGTTTAAGATTTACGGTCCCAAATGTTTGGCAGTAAACGTCGAAACACTCACGCGTAGCTAACAGGTGTTTTCTGACAGCGGTCGGCTGATTACAGTAAATTTGAGCAACACCTTCACGTGCATTTTTCTTGTGTTTAGCTTCAGAACAGATTTTCAGTTATGTGCTTTTATAATATGCTCACCTGCAAGTGCATTTTTGGTCGTCTGCCTCCTTTGTGACAATTAATTCCTGTAATACAGAGCTTGAGCCGTGTGAATAATCCTGGACGGCTTGACATTCACAACTATGGTACTTTGCCACACAGCTTGACACACTGTAACAGCTGTGCAGTGTACGGTACCTCAGCGGTCTGTGAGAGGCCTGTGTTTGTTTGTTGCACATGGTTTGTCCGTGCAGCTCACAGCTCCACAGCAGAATGTTGAGAGCAAAGGACTCAAAACCAGCTGAATTATTTAACTAATATCTGACTGTGGATCATGTTGATGTAAAGCTTTTGTTGCTGACACAGATTTAAATTTAAAAAAAGTGTCCTATGATAAACGTGCTTCAAACTCTCTCCTCCTCTTTTTTCTGTGTCCGCTTCTAGTTACAGGAGTACTACAAGAAGCAACAGGAGCAGTTGCATCTCCAGCTTTTGACTCAGCAGCAGCAGCAGCAACAGCAGCAGCAGCAGCAGCAGCAGCAGCAGCAGCAGCAGCAGCAGCAGCAGGTCGGGAAGCAAGCAGCAAAAGAGGTGAACTTCTCTAAATACGTATTCACTCAGCTCAAGTACACTCAGATGTAAAATAAGTTCCCTAAATGTAGTAAAAGTGTGATAAAATTCAAATATAGATGCAAAACATTTAAAATAAATGATCTAACCAGTTCAAAGGGCCGGCCTCGGCTGGATTCCCCTGATAATTCTGACTGTTCTGCTTTATGATGCCATAAATATGTAACATTTACTACCTGTTTTATTTTTCTAAGCTGTCAGACAATGTTAGACATTTTCTTTTTTGATTGAGAAGTTTATTTTTTTTAACTTTACCTTAACTTACTGATGTTAACTGAAATCAAGTACAGTGGTCCCTCGTTTGTCACGGGGGATCCATATACCTGAAGCCCTATGATAAGTGAAAAAACGTGAAGTAGGAATAATAGTGCAATTAGTAAGTAATTATATATATATATATATAGGTGTTTTGAACCCTTCCCACATTCTTGCAATATTCTAAGCAATGTTTCTAAACTCTAAACATTCTAAAAGAGCACAGAATGTCATGATGTCAGCTCCCTGCTTCCTCTGCTCTTTGACACCTGCAAGCGCTCTTGGCCACGCCCACTTCATCGCTCTGCACGGAGAGCAGCTGATCAGCTGCAGGAGGAAGCTTATCCTGCAGTAATATGGGCTTCAAAAAGGTGCACCAGGTGCTAAATAAATTTAAATGATTTTATTTTAAATAAAAATTTCATGCCGATCGTGCGGCTCATCCATCAATCAAAATTGTGTCATGTCCAATCTTATTTTGAAAAACCGCGACAGAGCAAGTCCGCGATAAACGAACCGTGAAGTAGGGAGGGACGACTGTAGATTTATTTACGCATAATTGTTTTAATTGAGTCTCTTTTAACTTTCAAGTCAAGCTTTGTTTATACAGCACATGTCATAAAGCAATAAAGTAAAAAAAATCCAATAAAAATTCAGTTAGAACATTAATGTGGAAATGCTCACAATAAATGTTTCATTATTGAAAACTAACAAGAATTAATAATAATAACCAAATAAATTCAAATTTGATATATAACAATGTTCAGTCAGGTCATCTGGATGGTTTATTTTTTCTGAGACGTTTCGTCCTTCATCCGAATTACTTCTTCAGTCTGAGGAGTCACAAACAAACTGGAGTCCCACAAGCTCCACACTCACATAGTTGGAAAAAAAAATCAGTTTGCCATTGTAAGATGGTTTCTGGGACCCACCCTCTCCCCCGTCAATTCCTGTGAGGCAGTTTTGCCAAAGTGGTTTAAAACACTAACAACGCCCTGAGTTGTTGTTTGTAGTAATTTCTTTCTTTTTTTTAAAAAAAGGGGCAGCTATTATAAGAATTTTCTTCTTTCTGCAACATTTTCATTCAATGTTTTCTTTTCTTTTTGATGATTTTTTTTTTCTTTTAAATGAATGAATGAATTAAAAAAAATAAATAAATAAAACACCAAAGTTCATGCGCAACAATCCAGGTACAAATCCAACAATGTTCAGTCAGGTCATCTGGATGGTTTCCTTTTATTTTTGCTGAGACGTTTCATCCTTCGAAACATCTCAGGACGAAACATCTCAGCAAAAAACGAAACCATCCAGATGACCTGACTGAACATTGTTGGACTTGTACCTGGATTATTGAGCATGAACTTTGGTATATGACCTATGCATTTACACACAGGCATAAATATAAAAGGCAAAAACATAAAATGATTGTAGAAGACACAAGCATGAAAAAAGTAATTATTTTGTCTTAAAGATCATTTCTCACCTGGTATTAAAAATAATAAGAGTTGTGCTTCTGTCAGATCTGGAGGCTCTCACACACAAATATACAAGAACACACTCTCTGAGCCAATTTAACCACGTGAGGTGCAGCAGGATATCGAAGAATCGGCAAGGATCAAAATGTGCAACAACAAGGAGGATGTAAATCAATTAGACATAATTATTGTTATAATCTGTGTGGGCAAGGTGTTGTGTGTCTGTGTGTGTTCAGCCAAAAGAGGAAGAAAACCGTTCACAGACTGAGGACAACACAGGAGAAACCCTTCAGTGAAAAGACCTCATGAGACTTTTCTCTGAGAAACGCATGAGGAGGCACATCCTAGATTTGTCCTCTCCTCTTCCATTCCTTCATCCTCTTCTCTCGGCGGGCAACCCCCCACCAGCCCACATGCTCCTCACTGACAGCGGTCCACCAACCCAACCGTGACCAAAGCAAACCAGTTGTGGTTGACTTGCATGTTGAGCGAGTGTCTGAGAGCGCTTTGCTCTCTCCCCGGCGCTCTGCCGCTGTCCCACTTTTCAGGTTGCTTGTCCTGTAACAACGAGACAAGTGCAAACACTGGTCATACAGCTACGCACGCAGGCAGGCGCCGAGCGAGAGGCTTGACGTGTGACGGTTCACTGCTCAAACACATCCACCTGGGGGAATATGCTTCCCTGCAGAGCTGGACACAGCTGATGTGACCAAGGTTCTCTCCAGCAGTTATCGTTGCTGCCGGACAAAAATCAAACAACACAGTTGCAGTTCTCCCTGTCATCTGATTTGGTCAGGTATGGTAGGAGCTACAGGACATGGAATGTAACGCTCTGTGTTGAAAGGTTTACCTGTTTGCAGTTCTCAAACTGACTGGTATTGTGAGTAGATTTGCAGAACAGTGGAAGAAGGAGGAAGAGTTAAATACGTCCTCTTTTTTCTTTTTGGAGTGTTTGTACATCAGTAGCTGTGACCTTTTTTGCCCTTTTCTCTTTTTGCCGCAATTCCTTTTCACTTTCATGGCTTTGTGGAAGTGATGCGTTGAAAGAGAAGCTGTGTGTGCGCGTGTTGAGGTGGCGTTTTGTGTGTCACCGAAGCATTTGGGACTGGTCAGGAGTCAGCTTAATGAAGTGACTCTGACCATCACAAAAAGATATGTGCTTGTGTATGTGTGTGTGTTTGGGTGTCCGTTCACAGTGCCTGTGTGTGTATGCGTCCGTGTGACTGTCAGGCTCAGACAGTGTGTGATGTGCTCATAAATCACATTGACAGCCTGTTACTGCGCTAGCTTTGGCCACTCAGCCACAGCTAATGTAAACAGAACACAGCCACACTTACACACACACAATGTGTGTTTTAAAGAACTGTGGTCATATCTCAGGAGGGAATGAGAGACAGGGGAGAGATGGGAAGAAATAAAATGGACAGACAAGTTTGAAAAGAAGGGGCAAGAAGGTCTGGACAGGACGGGAGGGATGGAACCGAAGCAGCGGACAGAACCGGCTGATCTTCCTGAACCAGATTATTGCAACTAATGCAAATCTGATTTGTTAGTTGAAATGGTTTGAGACACTTTGGCATAACAGACTCTGTCAGTGTCTACAACATCCTGTGCAAAGAAGGGATTTTGTTTTATGTATGCACAACTTCATTCATCCTCACAGAGTAAATCACTGTTGTCTCTGCAGAACTTTTGTACTCTGCATCGGTCACGAAACAAAAAGGACTTTGCTCATTTACACTTCTGTTGGTTCGCAATGATGCAGTCAGACAAAAAAGGTTTAAACACGAGGACCACTCCACAATTAAACCAGTTTTATCTCATTGCAATTAGACTGCAAAACCAAAATGAAACTGCTCAGTTCGCACTTTAATCTTTTATTAATTATACTCTTTCAGGCTCATTGTTTTTAGCTTAAAATGTATCACTTGCCACCACGAAAGGTGAGCATTTATATCTGTTTTTTCTGTTTTTGAGCAAAAATCTTATGAACTTGTAGGCATCTTTTAATGTGATCATTTAATGTACATTTACAACGTATTATCTTTTGGAGAGAATCCTAATCAAGATGGCGATTACAGTTAATTGATATTAGCAAGCACATAAATGACTATTACTCTGTCACTTTTATAGATATTGACTTAAAATTTGGTGTGGTAGTAGCTGAGGTTGATCCCCAACAGATACTCTGAGCACAAGTCAAGTAATAATATTTGGAGTCAGCACTGTCTGTCCTTTTAGCAAAATATCTCATGAACCACTGAACAATTTTTCATAAAACTTACAGGAAGGGATTATTGGATGCACGTCTATAATTGATTGTGTTTTTATGTCCTCCAAAAGAATGGCAGTTGAAGGAATCCTAATCTAAAGGAGCCTCCAGCAGTGGCAGATCAGCAGTATCCTCCCCATTTATTTCTCCTCTCTAAGTCCAGCCCTGAAAAATCACTACAAAGGCAACTGTAGCAGTCTAAGCATGCACAAACACGCACTTCATCTTAACACAGCTCCATTCTTTGTGCAATGGAAACAATGATATTATTAGGGACTAAACATGTGACAAACGTTTTTTTTCCAAGCTCCATCAGTATTCAGCAGTGTTATTAAAAAGGACGGACTACAAGTGTTTCTGTTGACAAGTTATTACCGTACATACAAAGGTGTCTCGTAGAAATCAACAAAAACCTCAAACATACACCAACCTACTAACATAATACCTTTCTTCCCTAGGCGCCAACTTTGAAAGGAAGTGACTAATTTGTCCTTTCTGTGAGTTCTTCTCTTATGCACCCCCCCAGCAACACACACACACACAATGATGAGTTGCATTTATTTGTTTTTCAGCCCAGCCAGTTATCTCTGAGAGATAAAGTACTCCTCTCTCAGGGGTTGATTCTGCAGGGTCAGGTTGAGTCAAGTAGCACAGCACAGTCCAGGTCCGCTTCAGATTGGAAGAGGAGGAAGGGGGGGGGGGGGCATTTATCAACATGATGCGCACAGGCATTAACACTAGATGTTATGAAGTCCTCTCTACTGTCTCTGTACCCTCTCTTAATCCCGTTACATTTTCTCCACATCCTGAAGGTATCGCAGTTTGGTTTTCATCTCTTTTTTATTTTTGTGTTTAGTCAACTGCATCAAACAGCAGACAACTTATTATCTAACGTGTCCCTCTCTCTGTCTGTCTTCTGCCTTACAGCAGATCAGCAGTAAGCAGCTGGCCTTCCAGCAGCAGCTGATCCAGATGCAGCAGCTTCAACAGCAACACATCCTCAATCTGCAGAGACAAGGCCTGGTTCCCCTGCAGCCCACCGCCGCCATGCAGTCTCTTCAGCAAGGTGTGTGTACACACACGCAGACACACACGTATGCAGAGCTCTGACCATGCAACGCTTTGTAAAGCAGGCGTATCCTGACAAACACGGGCCTAACCACACACGTGCACGCATTGGCCTGTGCTCGGCGTTGCCTGTGAAGCCCGTTAAGTTAATCAGCCTATAAAAGATAAAAGGAAACGTGATTGGTGGGTTTGTGGAAAGTACTCATTTAGATAATAGGTAAAATATGCCACTAAGCCTCCTTCTCAGAGATGTGTGGATGTGTGTGTTTGTACTTGAGATTAGCCAGACCCAAGAAAAATCATCTTCCTGCTATAGCTGCGCCCCACAGGACTTTATTTTTTCTCTTAAACTTCTCAGAACGATAAATGTTAGCTGTTGCTGGCTCGCCCTTACTGTACGTGTGCGTGTTTGTTTTGTGTGTGCACAGTGACGCTTTATGCATACATCCACACACTATCTCACTCTCAGAGAATGCCTTAGGGGCTCTAAAGTGCCCGTAACATTGCTAAAGCGCTGACTGAGTTGACCAAATAGACCCATTTCCTTCCCTCTGGCTCTGATCGCTCACTTTTTCCTCTCATACAGACTCACATGCTGTAACAGTGAAACACACACTCAGACATAACAAAATAAGACTCCACGGAAAACTGAGAACGTTTGGAAAAGTTCATCTCAAATCAGCTAAATGTGAAAAGCAAGATCCACCAAAGGATAAGTGGGTTTACCGGTAATATAGCGACGATTCACAGAAGAAATATAGAGGATGCAGTTGTGTTCGGAGGGTGTAGTTTTTCAGAAATGCTGCGAAACATTTGGCGTCTCCTTCTCTTTCTTGTTCTCCATGTGTATTAGACTGGAATTTCCCTGCAGTGTACAAGAGCCGGTCCATTGTGGCAGCCCAGCCAGCCGTGAGCCAGAGCATTCCTCTGACCAGCCATGCCACGCAAACACAAACACTCATACACAAACACCTGCAGACACAAACGCACACTCTAATGCCTCATCTCAATGGGCTGTTGTGTGGGTACAGGGGTAATATGAGTGCTCCTGCTGTGGTTAATGTTTATTTCCAAGATTTTAGTCATTTAGAGGTAGTCTTTGTCCAAAAGTAAAGAAAACTGATCAAAGTGTATTAATATATATGTTTTTTTGCAAAGAAATGTGTATTTAAACAAATTACAGTAGTCCCTCGTTTATCACTGGGTTTAGGGGACCACGCCCTCCGCGATAAATGAAAAACCGCCAAGTAGGAATACAGTAATTAAACTTTTAACTCTTTTATATTTGTGATTATGACGATTTTTCGATGTGACATACTTTGAATTTTAAGCCGGAAGACAAAAGTCGATCGGTGCAGCCGGACAGCAAAGGGTTAACCCTTCACAAAGCTGCTTCAGCACAGAGCAGAAGTGTGTGGGTGGCAGAGAGCGGAGATCGTGACCACATTGCTGCAGGAGGGAGCTTCTCCCTGCGCCTGTGGGCTGCACAAAGTTGCAGCAGGTGCTAAGTCATTTAAAATAATTGATTTCAAATTAACAATCCATGCCGATCCTGCGGCTCATCCATCAATCAGCCACTTGTGTGTCATGTCCACTCTTACTTTGAAAAACTGCGAAAGACCACTAAAGTCGAACTGTGAAGTAGCGAGGGACTACTGTACTTTGTTTGATTTGAGTTTATGCATTTAGATCCTACTTTTTGGAACGCTCGAGACACTTTTCCACATTTTTCTTTTCTTTTTTTTTTTACGGATAATTTAGATAAAAAACAAACATCCTGATCTGGTGTAGCAGGAGTATTCTCATCGTCTCAGATTATTTGTACATCTTAGGCATCGTTGGACAAAGTTAGGAGAGAAATTTTGTCTCGAATAGTTACAAACTCATTATTATTTCATTACAAATCTCTTCTTCCCACATGCTTTATTTGTGTTTCACTTGTCAGTTAACAGTTTCCATATGTTTCCCCCAAAAACTGCATATTTATTTTAAATTAAATGGACTCATACGATTTGGGTTTCTTACCATAACAATTCTGAACTACTTTACACCTCTCTGATTGTCTCCACAGTTCCGTTAATTTTTTTCTTTAATATATATTTCATGCATGTGCAAACACAAACATTCACAGAACCGTGTGCATACGTACACACCACTTCATTCTTCCAGAGTGAGAACTCTTGTTTTGGCGGGGCTTGAGAAGAATGCAGACAAAGCAGACATAATATTTGGATTGCTGCGAGGTCTCTGAATGTGTGTGCAGATGTCTGTGTATGCATGCTAAGATCCATTGGAGTAGACTTCGGCATTTTAGGCGTCTCTTTTACTGTGAAATTGGACCAGAAATAACACAGCTGGAGAAATCAAAGTGTGCACCCACACTTTTTTTTACACAAATCTTACAGCTGATGAAGTCTTTATTGGCAAGTCTCACCACTGTCTTCTTATTTAGACTCTTATTTTGAGCTAATAAGACAAGGTCTCTATCTAACTGAATAAAGTGAGAGTCCACAGAGTGTATCTGGCAGTGACAAGAACAGTGATGGTGATGGACAGCACTAGTTGTCAACAATGTCAGTGGCTGTAACTGTAAAATATTTTTTCTGCAGTAGAATAATTAGTTGATGCTACAGTTTCAGTGATGCCAGTTTCCATATCCAGTAGTCTATCAGTATGTGTCTGACTAATAGTCGACAACGTATGAGCTTTATTTGAATTTGCACAATTTAAACAGCCTATCGTCACATTTGCCCGTGACTTTGATCAGTAAGGTAAACGTGAGTAAACTTTGTGTTTTGCTTTTTTCAGCAATGTGTCCGTCAGACCTCCAACAGCTGTGGAAGGAGGTGTCGGGGGTGCAGAGCACCGAGGAGGCCCTCAAGCAGGCCGAAGGCCTGGACCTGAGCACCAACAGCTCCAATTCTACCTCAGCCTTCCCCAAAGCTGCAAGCGCTCACATTCCACTGCACAGCCTGCCCAATGGACAGAGCCACACCCCAAAGAGAGACAGGTACAGGTGGCTTTAATCAGGAATTCAACAAGCAGAATTCTTTTCTGTCCTTTGTGTAACGTTTACTATCTCTTATTCATGCAATTTTATTCTTACTTTTGGAGGAATTTTAAGCTTCAAGCTACTCTGCACTCACACAAACAGTTAAAAAGACATGCACACGTGCTCTTTGTCATACTAACATCTCTCAGAACATTCGATGAAAGATGTGTCTGGTTCAGTATTGACATGTATCAGTATGATGTGGGAAAAGATGAGGAGGGGATGCTAGAGGAGAAGTCTAGAAGGAGATGATGCTGTAGTCCAGAGATTAATACTGTGGTTGTTAGAAAAATGCACATGCTGGGTGTATCTGTACTGCACACACTGCGTGGCTGTGTTGTCCCATGGCTGTGTAGGCTGCTCATGGGCTTGTCTTCGTCTTTAAGAGCCAGACTGTTTGAGTGGATATCGTCCTTCTCCAAGGCAGACAGCGCAGATGACCATGTCCCTCTTTATTCCAAAGGCAGCCAACCGCCCAGCAGCCAGTGAGTAGCATTTTCATGTAACACACACACTCCCATGTGGACAAAACTAAGATTGACTTTGCTGATGTTTGGCACTAACCACACACACACACACACATCACAAATGGACAGCTTTAAATACATGCGTGAACTCTCTCAGGACTAATTGAGGATGCCATATTCAAATGCTTGGCCCACAGTCAAAAGTGGTCTGAGTTGATTTTGTTTACACAGGTTAAGGAGCCTGTATCCAGATCTGTCCTGGGGCACATTAACAGCTCACCTACTGACCCATCATGACTCCACACAAGCAGTGGAGTTATTACCTGGCTGTCTCCTAGTTATAGAAACAACAAACAAATAGAGTCAACTACATATCATAAAATGGTCTCTGTCACTTTTATCACAAGCGTAATTGGTAAATGGTAAATGGACTGTAATTATATAGCGCCTTTCTATCTTATTGAGATACTCAAAGCGCTTTACACTACAAACGTTCAGACTTGATACTCGAGCGTCCACCCAGAGCAACTGCAGAGCAGCTTCACAGACAAGGGGCGTTTACCTTCGGGACAAATTGAGGTCGCCGATTGGTCGTTTGTTGACACGCCTATTGGATTGATTGACAGGTTGGGGGGAAAAAAACGAGCGCTGGCAGGCTCAGCCGCAGTGGTGTTCTGTGTTTATATGTTGTTAATAAAAAGATCTAAAAGTAAAAAAAAGAACAGGGAGCGCTGGCTCTGCAGCCCACACATCAAACCAGCCCACCAGGAACTCTCCAGACCCTCCCGCAGCCACGCTGGACCTGAGTTTAATTCGCTCGTGACAAATTATTTTAATTTCTCACCATTTCAGTCATGGCATCAACGGAGGAGGAAGCGATCGCTTGCCTCTTGGCAAAAAACAAAACAAAATAAAAGGCCAGATCAGGGATGAAGAAGGGGAATTTAATACATTGGTGTCACATACAAAACAGTCCGTCCTGGGCAGTTTTTGTGTGACACCACGTACGCGTATGCGGTCGTAAAAATTGAGCTTTGCACGGACATTCCCTGTGGGGTACGCTCGTACCTCCGCATATGTACGTGCGTACCTCCGCGTATGGACGTATGTGGGAGTATACTGGGGGCTTTTGTCTAAAACATGAAATGTTCAGTCCTTTAGCACTGAGGCACTGTTTGCCACCAGAAATTTTGTTCAACCAGAAGTCTGACTTCACTTTGGAGAGGGTCAGAGTGGGGGCACAAGTAATAAAAAAGGTTCATTTGAACCAGAATGTCACAGATTATACTACAGCTGAAGTGTGCTGGTGGTAGTCCAACAGAGGATCACAAAGAGGGTAGCACTACTGTGTTAGCCTGCTAAGCTAATGCATGGCTGATGTGGAGGAGAATGTGGTTACCAGCAGTTTGTCATGTCTGCTGTCTGAGCTGCTTCTGAGTTGACTCAACCACAGCCAGCAGCACACACACACTCGTATCCAAATACATGACACACTCCAGCCTGCACATCTGATCAGGAAAGAAGGGGAAAGAAAGACAGAGACATGTTTCCATCTGCAAGACAAATGGTTTCTGTTAGACAACCCTCTGATGTTGAGTTGGGAGAATCCCTATCCCAGTTTACACGCTCACACACATACACACGTATACAAATGCACACATATCTAGTCATGTAAATAAACATGGAGACAGCAGTTGCTGGCACCAGTCCAGGTCTGAACCACATCTGCTACTGGACCTGCCACACACACTCACAAATACATTTCTTGGCTATGTCCAAACCAAACCTGGCTTAGTCTTTCATCATTCTACATGTATAGAAGTATACGCATACACACTCAGCATAAAGTTGAACAGAGTCACACACACACACACACACACACATAGAAACACATTCACCACAAAAGAACAACCAGCACATGACGACAGCCACCACCAATCAGTCATGGCTGGTTGGTCCTGTGCCGGCTCTGTGTCAACTCTTGAAACAGTAGAAAATGCAACAAAACCAATACACAAAACCATGTGCAAAACACACACCAAAGGCAGAGAGACAGGTCATGGACTTCAGAATGCGGCTCTGAGGTTGTTGGACCGATTTCCTTGTTTGCCTGGCTTCTGTAACTAACCCCACTTTGCTCTATTCTCCTTTCTCTGGTCTTGGCCTTGGAGATCTGCACAAACTAATCTCAGCTACCCACACTCGGCTGCACCGACGCTGCTGTTTCTATCAGTTCTTTTGCATGTGTGTGGTTTTGAAAGAGTGACAGAGTTATGCCTTTGCTAAAAACGCAATTGGACTTTTTTGGTAAAATGTTTATAATATCTGTTGTACAATCTTATTTAGTTGTTATTTATGTCCGTCCACAGTCACGAGGAGCAGAGCAGCTCCCATCCCCTTTACGGTCATGGAGAGTGTAAGTGGCCTGGCTGCGAAGCACTGTGTGAGGACATGGGACAGTTCATCAAGTGAGTAAACAGTCAACAAGGAGTGACGCACATGATCTGCAGCGGAAAAAACAAAAATCCATCTCAGAGGCATTATGTACTTCCTAATTAAACTGTATTTATTGTAACAATAACTTACAATTAGACAGCGTTTAAACTATTTGTTATAGATGATTCCCATGAGCAAGTAATGAGGCCAGTGCTGCTTTACTTTTCCCATTTTTCCCCAAACCATACGCAGAATAAAAATGAGAATAAACATAGTTTCCTAACTCTTAGCCACATTCGTTGAACTTTCTGTTTCAGTTGTGAATTCAGAACAATGTCGTCTGCAATAAGAAAAGAAAATCTTTAGTTTGCTTGTTAACAAAAATTTAAGAACTTTTCTTTTTTTTACCTCAGTCGCAAATGTCCCTGTGAAGTTTCCTGATATTTTTTTTTTTACCTCATCTGTTGCAGTTTGTTGCATCACATTTGCTCAGAGGCGCATGCATGTGTATGCACACACAGAAACAAACACACTCTCATTTGTCCCGCGTGTAAACGACTTTGTATTCTTAAAAATTAGGGCATCTTTTTACAAGTTTGAAACTGTGTGATTCACATTTCTTATTATTTCCCTGTTTGTTTTTTGTGGGGGGGTGGGTGGGGTCTGTTTTTAGGTTCTCGTTCAGCCCCTGCTCTGTGTTTGTGATGCTCAAGCACTTTCAGGCCTTGACATGCTCCTACCTCAACGTCTGTCACATATGGCGCTATAGCCTCCAACAAAAGACGTCTAATGAAGTCCAACACAGACTTACACTCATTATCCACACGGAGCTTGTGTGCATTTTAACAGTAGATGAATTAATTAGCAAGAGTGAAGAAATAAGTATTCACTCGCGCGCTCGTCTAATCAGAGAAAGTGTGCGTGGTGATCGTGATGGCATCGGACAGTCGGATCAAAGCTTGCAGCCAGGCTGGGAAAGTTTGGAGAGGAAAGCTGTTGTTTGGTGTCTCATTTCACGTAGCCCCGGGGCAGATGGGAGGAGAGCGAGCGCTGGAGTGAAAAAGTGCGTATGTGTATGTTTGAGTGTGTAAGAGGAGAGATGAAATAAAATAGAGGCAGCGACAGATAATGCCGTCAGTCCAATCCTTCCCAGCAAGCCTTAGTCATCCCCTCGGGAGGGGAAAGGGGTAGAGCGGAAGAACAGAGGAGGGAGACACTCCACTATTTCAGGTCTTTCTTCTCTTCTCTTTACTTTGCCCACCTCCTCCCTCTCCTCCCTGTCCTCTGGTATAATACTCTCAGGCTGTGGTCGCAGAAGCTGGGTGTAATGTGGGTTAAAGCCTTGTCTGCCAGCACTCCGAGGAGTAAACAGAGCCTCATTGTCGAGACGCACTGGAAAAAAAAAAGAAGAAGAAGAAGAAAAAAACACAGCTACTGTTTATGGCGCAGCTATAGAGAAATGGAGGGGAGGGAGAGAGAGAGAGAGGGGGGAGGGGAGGGGAGATTTGGTTGAAGATGTGTGAATCATTGGAATTTGGGGAGTTGCGGGGGCAGAAGAGTGGGAAGGGGAGAGTGGACAAAAGTGTGAGTGAGTTATAGAAAGGGGTGAGAGAGAAGGGGTGAGATCATGTTTTTGTTATTATTATCATGCACTTGTGTTGAGCCATCCATCTGCCTAGATTAGTCGTGCCATGACATCATTGTTTTTGTTTCATTTTGAGTCTCCGCCTCAAGTTTCTAAACTTCTTTCTCGAACATACACACACACACGAACACGCGTGCACACACACGCACACACACTCGACGTAACAGAAAATCACCTAATCCTGAGTAAACAGGTTAAAAAGGAGGAGATCATAAATAAAAAGTTTAGATCAGTTGAAGTGGGGCTTTGTGGGATGATTATAAACAGTTAATATATTACCTGTTGTAGATATTTTTGAAGAAACTGAGTTTACTTCTGTCATCTTGAAAAAGTTTGAGCTCATCATTTTGTTGCAGTTCATGCAAAGACTATTTTAACAGCCTTTCGCCAGTGAATGCCAATCCTGGTCCTCGAGACCCACTTTCCTGCATGTTTTATATGTTTTAATATTTTAACACACCTACAATGAAAGAATGGATGATTAAGTAGTTTCTTTACAACTTGAAGACATGCTAAAAAGCCATTCAAACCTCGAAATAGGCGAGTTGTAGCATAAAAACAACCAAAACACAAGGCAGTTGCCTTCATGGACCAGTATTTGACATCACTGCTTTATACCATTAACTATTTCACTACAGCAGGTAACGTAATACTTGTTCCAAGCCATTTCACCAAATTTCATGTCAAAAGATCTGAACTCTCCCTTTACTGGCCAGCTATAGTGACACTGCAGTTAATGGAGGGAGCCCACACTGTCAGGGCAGCAGCAACCTGGGAATAACCTTTGATGACAAAGCAGAGATGAGGAGGAACGCACTGGGACAGATCAAGAAGATCGCAGTTTCTCCCTTCCACACAGCACCCCCGTTCTCGCATGCACGGTGCACGGACATTCACCCACATGCACACATATTCACAAGTGACTCACCAGTGTTAATACGTGGAGTAAAGTTTAGCTAACAGGGTCTTAAGATAAAGCTCTGTGTGATAACACATGAGCTCATATCCAGGTGGTTGTCTTGGATTGTGTCTCGCTGAGTTCTGGTGAAGTAGACACACAAAACACAGCTGCCGTGGCCTTCAGCAGACAAAATGATGATCCGCCAAGATTGGAGTTTATTTTTATAGCACTGAAAGCGCTTGCAACTCAGTCTAAATAAACGAGGGCAGGTTGAGTTCACAGACATTTTCATTCAAGAGCTGAAAATTGGTATAAGATTAACCCTTTAGGCCACGGGTCCGCTACGTTTACGATCAAAAGAGACATTTTTACGTCTTCATTCACTAAATTAAAAGTGTTCAGAGTCGCAACAACCTGCTACGACTGTGATTATCAACTGGTGACCCGTGGGCCACTTTAGGTTTGTTGGAGGGGGCTTTTGTGGCCGCTAGCCTCCCCACCATCACAGACATTTACACCTCCAGATGCAGGAAGAGGGCCACCTGCATCATGAAGGACCCCACTCACCCAGCACACACACTTTTTGTCCCCCTCCCCTCAGGCAGAAGGTTGAGGAGCATTAAGTGCAGAACCACCAGTCTGAGGAGCAGCTTCTACCCTGAGGCTGTTAAACTCATGAATCCCTAGTCAGGACTATCACTGTGAAAATTACTGTGAAAAGAATCACTTGATTGTTGATATGTGCTGCTGACTACCCATGCTGCTGATCTCATGCTGCTGATTTATTTCATGTTGCTGTGTTCATTCGTCCTCATCTGCTCACACAGACTCATGTTTGTGCTGCTGTTGTTTGGTGCATTGTTTTGTACTAGTGGTGCTTAGTATATTCGTAGTTCATGTCTTGGATCTTACTACTGTTTTTCTTTACAATTTGTTGGATGTAACTGGGACCCTGTGTACATAGTTTTGTTCCACCACATGTACCACGTGGCGTAAATGACAATAAAGACAACTTGACCTAGGGGGTGACATTATAAAGCTCAAAATATCTAATGATTTTTTAACGTTTATTGATATTTTTACAATTTAAGACAAAAGAAAAAAACAAATTATTTTAAAGCGGGGCTGGGGTGTAGTTTTTTTTAATTAATAAAAACTATGCACTATGTAGACCTATGTCTTTTTTTTATTGTGGAAAAATTAAGTATAGAAATAAAGCATAAAGTTAAAGTGATTATGTTTTACTCCTTCTACTTGTTACAGTATTCACTTATTTGCAAAAGAAATTATGGGAAAACTGCTAAAACTAGTCCTTTTGTTTTCTTGTTGTTTGTATAAAAACGAATAAAATTCATTTTTTTTTGTCAGTTTTGGTCAAAACTTGAAAGAGCCGCTGCGTAGGAACCAAAGAGCCGCAGGTTGCAGACCCCTGCTTCAGGCTATAAAGCGGTGCTCTTATTTTGAAAGTATTTTTTGTTTGTTTGTTTCATTTAATGATCTTCTTTCTCTCATCCCCTTTAGGCACTTGAACAATGAGCACGCCCTCGATGACCGCAGCACTGCCCAGTGCAGAGTCCAGATGCAGGTGGTTCAGCAGCTGGAGATACAGGTGGGTCAAGCACATTCTCCCACAGACCCACTTCATTTTCATACGTTCACAAAACATCATCATGGAGATCGCTTCAGCCTGTCGACAGCACAAACTTTGTCTGAGGCCGGCCAGGGTTTACGGAGAGCAGCGGGGCTTGTAATTTAAAAGGAGCAGTCAGCAGGGATGCTGCCATGGCTGCTCTAATTATAAAGCCACACTGGTCACTAGCAAGAGAGTAAAGCTGAAAGGGGAGGTGTGGGGTGAGGGGGGGGGACACAGACGTGCATGTGGAGGACCAGGCTGTGTGGAGGTTCTTGCTCTCAAATTGCATACAACGCTCTTGAAACATCAGAATAAAAAACTTTTAAAGTCCTGAATACAACGCTCACACTGTGTGTGTGTGGTGGTGGTGGTGGTGGTGGTGGTGGTGGTGGTGGGGTGGGGGGGGGGGCTGTCCAGGGTTAGCTTTTATGTTTGCAGTGGTGGTAAACATCGTTTAGTTGAGCTCCTGAAGCCACCAGCACGCAACACAAAGTGACAGAGAGGCAGCTGGTGTCACATCACATCAGGACAGCCGTCTCTCTCTCTCTCCTTGACACGTCACTTCATCCCTCAGCGGTCCACAGGAAGCCCCCCCCCCCGGGCTCTGCCCTGACAAACATAACAACACACACCATGCACAGGGTTTGATTTTCTCATCGCACACATCACTGAAGTGAGAGTTTGTTAATAGTGATGTCTCAAGGTTTTTTTTTTTTTTGTGCACGCTCATCCTTAAGAAAAAAAACACACAGAGGACGCAGCATCTCCACAGGCCGTACCCATTAAACAGCAGTTAACAAAGTCAAACGGGGGCGAGTGTGTCTTCAGGCGACAGTGTGTGTGTGTGTGTGTGAGAAAGAGCTGCGGGTACTGAGGTTAGCGCACTCTCATGTTCATCTCTCTTTGCCTGAGGTGTAATTGTATTTGTAATTCTCTGTCAACACTGCATTAAATCAATCTGAAGGGAATGAAATGAGATGACATACATTTGAAGACATTCACCCGCACGCGTGTGTTTTCTGCAGCTGGCGAAGGAGAGTGAGCGACTCCAGGCCATGATGACCCACCTGCACATGCGTCCTTCAGAGCCAAAACCTTTTAACCAACCTGTGAGTACACATTGATCCAACCCCCTAAGGTTCAGATTACAAAACATCTGCTGCTTTAGCCTAAGCCACTTCAGCTACAAATGTCTCTTTCTGGCTGCTTTCTTTCCACCCTTCTTATTCTCTGTTAATCTTTAGCTTGGTGTCTGTGCCCCCTGTTGTTCAGTGAGGGTTAACGTGTCATTTCTGAATCATTACAGCTTTTTACTCTTTCTTCCTTGCGTCAGTTTTATTTTTTTTCTTGCCTTAAACTTCTGGTTTAAGGTTTTACATTAGGTTTATTTTGCATAAAACTCTATTATGAAATACCCATGCACTGACTCTTTCTACACATTCAAACTGTGCAAGTTGAAATTTTCCAAGCCGTTCACGTCTTTCACTGTATTTTCAGAGAATGCTGACAAATAGAGTTGAAATTTAATGTGGTGTGTATGCGTGTGTGTGTGTGTGTGTGTGTGTCCACAGCAGTTGCTGAGGTTGTTATTAAGAATCTAATGAATATTTTATTATTCAAATTGACAAGGAGTCTTATTAAAATATGAAGATGTTGAAATTAATTGTCAATTAGAGGCAGAGTGTCTTAATTTGAGAATATAAACGAGTGCAGCTGAGTGACAATGTGTGTGTGTGAGTGTTTCGAGGTGCCTGGATGATGTGTTGATCACAAGGGGATCAGCTGCCATTATCATCTAATGGGAAATCAGGAAGAGGCGTGTTCTGTCACCACTGGAAATGGGCCTCGGGGTCAGGCATTGGAGGAGGAGGGAGGCGGAGGAGGAGCATCAGGAATGGAAACAAAGCTTGGCCTCAATTAACAGCGTTCGACTGTTGCCTTGGCGACGGGGCAGAGTTGCAGCTTTAATGAAGTACCTGTTAAACAGCCCCGCCCCCTCCAAATCAACTTAAATAGTACTGAGAAGGGTCAAAGTAAAGAGGAGGTGATTCGCACATTTTACATAAATTGAGACAACACATACACACTTTGAGTGGTTTTAATTAGTCCTAAACTAGCAGCCATGCAAAGGCTTGCCCAAAGAGACTGGGAGTACTGGTTCTGCTATGTATGTGCATGTGTTTGTGTCTGTGTGTGCAAGGCTCTGCCTAATTGGGCCGAATTGGTCCGTGAAGACTTGGCCACCGCAAAGTGCATGTGTACGTTCCCTTCGTACAAACACGCTGTCGTGCGGTTTTGTTTTTGTAAGCGCTGGGGTTAATTGCAGACATTGCTGTGTGTATAAATACATGTGCACGTTCAGAGTGTGCAAATGTGTGGAGTTCTGTGCAAATGATAGGGCCGTATATTCACAGGAGGCGCTCAAGGCCTGACGTTTTGTTCAAATCTGGGTTAGTATTTGTAATGGTTCTTGATTAAAGCACCATATATGACCAGTTTAACTGAACTCAAGTCACTGGTTAGCAGAATAATCACTTCTTTAAGAACTGTTCTTGTAGGTTGTGGGTTTGCTGCCTTTACTCTACAAATGGCAAATAATGGGAACTTTATAGACAAATCAGTCGTGAACCGTCTGTCAGAAGTGGCAGAACAAAATATCCAGAATGATGTTTATGGGAGAAATAATCAGGAGAGTTTAAGACTTTCACGACTGTCTAATGAACTCAATTTCAATTCATTTCAGTTTATTTATATAGCACCAATTCATACCAAAGTTGTCTCAGGGCACTTTACAGGAACGTTCATAGAAAAGCCAATTAGTAAAGTTCTCTATCTAAAAAAGCAGCAGACACGTTGAATCTCCACTTCGTCACAGTCTCTCATCCTGAGTAAGTGCGATGGCAACAGTGGAAAGACAAAACTCCCTTTTAAAAGGAAGAAACCTCCAGCAGAACCAGACTCAGGACAAGTGGCCATTTGCTTTGACCGGCTGAGTTTGAGAGGACAGGAAGGAGAGACAAACGAACACAGAATGGCAGGTCCAGGTGCAGGTGCAGGTGTACCTGAAAGACAAAAAACACGTTAGGATAAAAAAAATAATTATAAATACAAAACAGGTTGAGCAGAGTAAGTAAAGACAGTAGCAGAGTGAAGAAATGTGGTCAGTTTGTCCTCCAGCAGTCTAAGCCTATAGCAGCATAACTAAGGGACAGCTCAGGAAACCCAAGTCAACCCTAACTATAGGATTTATCAAAAAGAAAAGTCTTAAGCCCAGTCTTAAAACTGGATAATGTGTCAGCCTCACGGACAGAAACTGGAAGTTGGTTCCACAAGAGAGGAGCCTGATAACTGAAAGAGCTTCCTCCCATTCTGCTTTTGGAAACTCTAGGAACCACAAGTAAACCTGCAGTCTGAGAGTGAGGTGCTCTCTTAGGAAAATATGGATCAATAAGATCTGTAATATAAGATGGAGCTAGGTTGTTGAGAGCTTTGTAGGTTAGAAGTAAGATTTTGAATTATATTCTGAATTGGACAGGGAGCCAGTGGAGAGAAGCTAAAACTGGAGAGATATGATCTCTCCTACTAACTCCAGTTAAGACTCTGGCAGCAGCATTTTGGATCAGCTGAATCCAAATTTCCTGAAACTGGTCTTTTTTATGTTCCTTCTTTGTAAAATAAAATAAATAGATAAATAAATCCCTTGCTCTTAAAGCAACAGAAATCTATTGAAGTGTGGTTCTGTGGGCAGTTTATAACGAGTCAGTATCTTATTTGTAGCAGGTAGCTCTTTGAGCAGCCTCAGTTTGGAGACACAGAGTTTAATTTTGTCCAGATTGATGATATAATGGCTGGTCTTTGCAGGGCCAATGTGCAGACTAGCCGTTAGTTAATCTATTTATCTATATGAAACCTTTTTTCCAAACCAGGGTTGTTCACATAGCTACCTTCAGCAGGTAAGATATTAACTGATCATAAACTGTGCACAAAGCTCTTTTCAAAACATCCAAATGGTTCTCAAAAGAAGATTTCTAATTTTAAAATACCAGTTGTTTAATGATGGCGTGCGCCCATTTAATGTCTTCGTTATGAATTAATGTTTTAACCAAAAAAAACTAAAATGTCATATGTATGTGTGTGTATTTCTAGCTGAACCTGGCTTCCAGTGGCTCTCTGTTAAAGAGGGATACTGACATCTATCCAGAGGGTCTTCCCCACCCCCCCACCTCAGCCGCCACCCCAATCACCCCGCTGCGCCAGGGACCCTCCGTCATCAGCTCTTCCAGCCTGCACACACACTCCCACTCCCACACGCACCCCGTCGGGCCCATACGTAGGCGCAACTCCGACAAATACTGCACCCCTATTGCCTCAGGTAGACTCCAGCATACATCTGTCCTTTTGTCTGATCCTGAAACAGTCTTTTCACTTGTGTAAATCATATTTATTATTTACTCAGTGGGTTTTAAACATGTTAAAGTGTGCTAAAACAAGCGTTAATTGCAGCTCAGGATGGGATGCACGTTTACATTAGTGTTGCAAAAGTCAGTAAAAGCTCACGATCTATTTTGAATTGTTTGCTTTTGTCAGAGCTCGCCCAAAACTGTGAGTTCTACAAGAACGCTGATGTCAGGCCTCCCTTTACCTACGCCTCTCTTATACGCCACGTAAGTTTAGCCATCGTTGACTTTTTTTTTTTTTACTGTATCGCCACCTGGATTGTCTTTTAATATCGGTGCTTTGTGATTCCCAGGCCATTCTGGAGTCTCCAGACAGACAGTTGACCCTCAATGAGATCTACAACTGGTTTACACGAAAGTTTGCGTATTTTAGGAGAAATACGGCCACATGGAAGGTACGGGAATGCCATACGTAGTATAATGGAGCTTCATACTTAAAAATGTGCTTTTTCATTTTGATTTCAAAACCCAGATCTTTTCTGTAGAGCTTTTGAAAACACTTCTTATTGTATTTTTTATTGTATTTTGTCCCACTTGTCCTGTCAGGCATGGTGGCACTCAGAATTATTGTGTGAGTGTCAAGGTGAGGCCCAACAGACTTACTTTCACAAGCAGAGCATTATGACTGACCTTAATGCCCCTTCTTATTACACTTCTTATTGCAGCGTTCTCCAGTTTATGATTTTGTGTAAGATATTATTTCAGTGAACTTAAACCAGTGCTAAGTACTTGTCAAGCAAACTAACAGAGCTACATGTTGACAGTGTAAGTTTGGACCGTTTTATTTTTATTTTTGGAGTTCAGTTTTGACAAAACCCTAAACCGTTCAACTTCTGACTGGCGATTGCAGGAAATATATTGTGGTTTGTTGTGTGTGATCTAAGTCCGACTCAGATTTTTTATTTTTTTTATTCAATTGAACAAAAACATTTGGGTACCGCTTTACAATACGGCTCCCCTTATAGATGGCTAATAAATAGTTAATAGATATGTTATTTATTCCTCTATAAACACTTTATAAATCATTAATAAGTACCTATTATGCATTAATTAAGGGTGACAGAGAAACAAAACTGAGCAGTTTCTTGCCAAATAGTGAACCAAATCTGCCACCTATGTATTTCATCTAAAGCTGTTATATTAAACATTTTAGGCTAAGTTACTACCTTGTGAGGACAATAAGCATTTGTAAACCTATTTTTTAGGATATGATATTAGTTGTAGATACTTATAACGCAGTGATAAAGTACAATATTATAAGTTAAATAAATAGGTTTACAAATGCTTGTTTTGGTTACGCGGTAGTAACTTAGTCTGAAATGTTTAACGTAACAAGATGAAATAGGTGAACAGATTTGACTCACTATTTGGCAACAAGCTGCTCGGTTTTGTGTCTCTGTCACCCTTAATTAATGCATAATAAGCAGTTATTAATGATTTATAAAGTGTTTATAGAGGAATTAATAATGCATTTATAAACTATTAGCTATCTTTAAGGGGAGCCTTATTGTAAAGTGATACCAAAATTTTGCAGTCAAGCTTTATTCTGTTTTTAAGGACATTTATCAAAATGATCTCACTTTATTTGAAGGCCCTGATTAAGATTTTTTTTTTTTTTTTTACTGTTTTTGTTTTTTATGCAAGATTCTCTTTCTGTCATTCGACATATATTTCACTTTCAGATTTGAATATTTCAACCTCCCCAGCTTAGTACTTTAAGTATTTGACCTTGTAAAAAAAAAGCAACATCTCGCAGCTACACATTCTCTTCACATTAACAAACATGCAGAGCTAAAACACAATCTGTCTTTTCTTTATCCCTGTCTCTATTGCACACACTTAGGCTGATCCCATCATTGTAGGTGCTGACCTATTTTTACAGAAACCCCGCTCTAATTTAGGTGTGGAAAAGAGAGGAAGTGAAGAACAGACTGGGAAAGAAGGAACACTCTAAGGAAGCAAGGCGGAGGATGATAAAGGAGGAATGGGTGCTGCAAAGGTTAAGAGACAGGGTTGCAGAAATATCTTCAGCCCCCCCCATCATCTGACTTTTATGAATTTTAACTATTAATGCCCAGTGTCTGTTTCCTCTGCCATCCGTCTGGAGGATCTTTAAATAGAGCCCGGCGTGGCCTTATGTATTTATGTATCAGCTCCGTAAGTCAAATGGGGCCGTAGAGATGTACGTCCTTTAATAAGTCGTTATATTTCATGAGGAGAGCAGTGGTGTCAAAGAATGGAAGTCATAGATCGCAGACAGAGGGGGACGGAAAAATGAGAAGGAGACGAGAAAGAGGAAAAGAAACATTGTTGAGGGAGGTGAATGTTAAACGAGTACAGTGGTCCCTCGTTTTTAGATCCGTACTCTGAAGTCCCGCGATAAGTGAAAAACTGCCAAGTAGGGATAGTAGTATAGTTGTAAGTAGTAGTTTATTTAATATTTTTATATTTTTTTAAGGCGTTTTAAATCCTTCTCACACTCGCAATATTCTAATCAATGTTTCAGAACTCTAAACGCTCTAAAAGAGCACAGAATGTCACGATTTCAGCTCCCTGCCTCCTCTGCTCTTTGCCACCTGCAAGCGCTCTTGGCCACGCCCACTTCTCCGCTCTGCATGGAGGTCAGCTGATCAGCTGCAGCAGGAAGTTTATCCTGCAGCAGGTGCCAAATAATTTAAAATAATTTATTTCCATGCCGATCGTGCGGCTCATCCATCAATCAGCTAATCGTGTGTCATGTACTATCTTATTTTGAAAAACCGCAAAGTAGCGAGGGACTACTGTAGTTTGGAATTCCTGAAGTGGTGTTCTGTAGGGTTGTTATGAGTAATTGTCTTACCTGCAGTAGAAGTTGCTCAGTGTTGTCATCAGTTTGGAGGACAGAGCAGGAGTTTTCTTAAGGGCAACCATCTAACTGCTAATTCATTTGTAGCCAACACCAAAGTAGTTTGCTCCCATATTAAACTGTTGTTTGTTTTTCCCGGTTATTTACCCCGAAGTCCAAGTTGTCTGCAGGCTGTTACAAATAACGATCTATGTAAAACTTATGTTATGAAATATATTTGGCAGTGAAACTACCTGACGATCATGAAAAAGTTTTACATGTAAAAAACAACAACAACAAGAATTTCACAATCTGCTCAAACAGCTGTTGGTTTATTTTTCTACTTGCTTCACTGCATAGTTTTACATTCTTACTGTAGTCCATGTAACAAAACATTTGTATCAATTATCTCTACTCAGCAATAAAATTGTACATTAAATCACCTGAATTCTTACATTTGACGTCTTACAATGCAACATTTTTATTATTGATTTTGTATTTGACATTTCAAGAATTAACCTTTATATTACTTTGCTTGTTATTTAGTTTACATGCTCACGTGTGTATTTTATTTCCCTGAATATAAACAGAATATTTGCTTTCACCGTGTCACCCTCATTTGTAGTTTAAAGGCAACATCTGTAACAGCCGTGACTCTAAAATGAAGGAGCTGTTTTGTAGTTTCATATCACTGTACGCCGTTCACTTCAATCTTTCCCCTTACATTTCTGTCTCCTGTTGTTGCCCCTGTCCCCCTTGGCCCAACGTCCCCCCCGCCCCCTCCCCAGAGGGGAAGTTTGGAGGTGTGGGAGGGGGGATGAGTGGCACATGTGCTGTGACCCACTGTAAATGACTGCTAATGTTTTAACTGGAAGAATTAGGCTTTCATCACGGAGACGAATGCAAATAGCACAGCCGCAACAGCGCCGGTGTCTGCTGTGTGTGTGTGTTTGTGTTTGTGTGTGTAAGTGTGTGTGTTTGCACTGTCAGGGTGGCAGGCGGAGATTGGGGTCAGACTCATTTAAAAAACTTAGCATCACGGCTTGGGGATGGGGTGTGTGTGGGGGGGGGGACTGTTGAGGGGGATGCAGGGGAGGGGAAAGGGTTCCTCTACTGATTATGGCTTGTGTAATTACGTGTGTGTGTGAGAGCGAGAGACTGTGTGTGTGTGCGAGCGTGTGTAATTACGGCAAAGAGTGATGCGTGCCTGGCCTGTCCCCTCCCTCTCGGCTTAGAACAGCGTGTCAGAGAGAATATGCAGGATTTAATTATAGACGAATTAAAATTGGTAATGAAATTGGGCATGAACAAACTACAAATAGCAGATGAAAAGGGAGGCCTGTCCCTGGGGGTGGGGGGTGGGGGGTGCGAGACAAAGATAGAGGTGAGCTTCTTGCTTGGCTGTCTGAGTGCCTGTGCGCGTGTTTCCGTGTGTGCGCCGATGATGACTGATTAGAAACAATCGGAGATAAAATAGCGCTTCAGGAAAGTGGCGGCCCTGCGTCAGCACGGGAGCTGCGGCGGGAGCTGCGGCGTCACGTGACGGGCGACAAACTGAAACGTCACAGCCGGCAGGCCACTCTATTTTTAAACTTTTGGCCTCCTTGTTTTGGCAGAACGCCGTGCGCCACAACTTGAGTCTGCACAAGTGCTTCGTTCGCGTGGAGAACGTGAAAGGTGCCGTGTGGACCGTGGACGAAGTCGAATACCAAAAGAGGAGACCACCAAAGATGACCGGGTAGGTGCTTTTAAAAATATTTTAATTTTAACGCAGAGGCTGATGACGCAGTTTGATTGCCTAAACTGATCCGCTATTATCACCAAGAGGCTATGAATTACAAACCGCTGGCTTGTGATGCGTTGTGCACGAGTGTGTGTGTTTCTCTTGTTTGTCGACATCATTAGTAAGCAGCTGTGTGAGATGCAAGACAGGAAAACAACTTGTTAGCGTGTGTAAACAGATGTTCCCTCCCAACCACCGGGGATAATTACGCACACACACCTGCACGCCAGATATGGCACACGTTCTTCACACGTGTGTGTGTTCCAGCAGCGGTTTACAGTCTGTGGATGTTTCTGTGTGGGAAATATTTCAGATTTGTCAAAGAGTTTTGATTTGAGGCCACATGTGCGCTCAGTCTGTTGTCTTACCCTCGCCTCTTTTGGTTTCCTTTCTGTGTGTTTTTGTGCAGAAGTCCCACTCTGGTGAAAAACATGATTTCGGGCTTGGGTTTTGGCTCCCTAAACGCTAGCTACCAGGTAAGTCATGACCTCTTCTTTTTATTTTCTCGCACTCACAATCAAGGACACTGATATCAAATCCCTCTCACAATTAACCGATTCCCTAACTACATTCACACCGACACCCCCACCTCAACGCACACTCTCACCTCCCACCTCATACACACCAACCCCACAGCTTCCCTTCAGCACACACACACACGCTAAAACACTTTTTGTACGACTGAGATGATTTATAGCATCAAGTAGTTGTCAATTAAGGTTACTGCATAAAATTATCGCCTGTCCCAGAAAAAACCCACCTCTGAGCCAGTGAGGATTCCTTCTGTCTTTTCTTTTTTATTATTTTTCCGCTGTGTGTGTGTGAGAGAGAGAGATGGGGGAGAGAAGAGGGAGGTGGGGGTGAGTCTCAGCCGGCGTCCGACCTGTCTCATCCAGCATGTGGATGTGAGCGTCCACGACAGAAGCTGTTCCTGTTGTTTTCTCCTCTGCAGACACAGATGTTGCACTTATGTTTCTGTGCCTGCGCTGAGGTCGTGGCTCTGTTTCTTGTAACATTCCTGTTGAGACTTTCGTGCGCTCACACACGCTTCTGACAGGGACTTGGACGTGCACGAAGAGCTCTTGAGGTGGAAAGTACTGTATATAAGCGCCCCCTAGTGGTGCGTTTTGATGTTCGCCTGCACAGACGAGAAAGAAAAACTACTTTTGTGGTGGCTTTTTAATTTTATTAGTTCAGATTTTTATCCGATTCTGTCAGATTTATAAACAGTTAGAGATTGCATTAAACATTAAATAAGTAGCTTTACAGTTTTTGCGTAACTTCTCTATTTTGGCATATACAGAAAGAAAGAAAGAATATGTGACTGTGTCTGTGCAGGCGGCTCTGGCAGAGAGCAGTCTGTCCCTGCTCAACAGCCCCCCCCTGGTGACTCCTCCGTCTGCAGCCAGCCTCAACATGTTACACGTGGGCCACGATGATGTCAGCTCCACCGTGGAGCAGGTGAACAGCAACGGCAGCTGCAGCCCAACACTCAGCCCTCACCAGTACAGGTACGAGCGCACAGATTGCACGTGTGTGACGATACAACCAGACAACTATACTACGGTGCTCATGTGATAGTCATGTTGGTTTTGCTAACAAATTGATGTGATTATTAAAATCTTTTTTTGTTGTTCTACACTGGAAAAAAAAAAACATAACTGAACCATCAAAGGCTGGAGAAAAACATTTTCCAGCTCCAGAAGCAGATAATCTAAAATTCATTATATGTGTACAAGTTTGAAAAAGAGTTCAAGTGACTAAAAGTTAGATTTCTAGTTATAACGTAATAATAAGACATAATAATTGTTTGAATTTCTGAATATTCTGTGCATTTGGTCAAATATTCCAATGCTGAAATATAAATTACATATTATGATGCATGCTTTTGTTCAACAAATTATATTTATATAATATTAATTCACAACAAAAATTTTCCAGTCCATACCGTCCAAAATCAATGTAATTATTTAAAGTCCAAATTTAATCCAATTTAGTTTAATTCAGTTTTTTTATTTAGCATCAAGTCACAGCAGAAGTCGTCTCAGGGCACTGAACAGAAACATTCATATACATAAAAAGTAAGTTAATAATATTATTTATCTGAATTTAGTTTAGCATGATTTTCCACAATAAAATATGTTAATTGTTGTTACAGTACGAATAATTTACAAAAATAACAAAACTGTTCAAATTTAAAATGTCAAAAATTGATATTAAAACAAAGAAAGAAAAAACGACTGAACATATTTCCAAAGGTAACGTTTTTTTTAATTGAATACTTAAATGCAGACTACAAACTTGTCATCTATTTCTTAATTAAGGCTTCATTAATATTGTGGCAGCGAAAAAGCCTTTTTACCTCTTGACAAAGATAAGGAATGTCACCATCAGGACGTGTGTTTTGTTTCTTAATAACTTGAAACCAAACAGCAGATTGATCAAAAGCTGCGTATCTTTTATAAAAATCAAAACAATTAGATTCAGTCAATTAAAAAAAATACTGTACAGTATATAGTGTTGCAGAGGTTAGAAGGTGGGCCTGTGATCAGAAAATCACCAGTTCAACATCACAATGTGGGTGGAATTGGTGAAGCACCCACACCTGCCTCCACCCTCATTTGCCACACTCTGGGCCCTTGAGCAAGGCTCTTAACTCCATCATCTGCTCCTTCAGGTGCCCTTGATAGCAGCTCTCTGCTCCACACAGAGCTGCGGCAGCTCGGTGGTCTGCGGTTGTGTCAGGAAGGACATGCGGCGTAAAAATAATCGCCAAGTCTTCGTGTGACTTAGTTCGGTGTTGTGACCCCAGAACGAGGGAGCAGCTAAAAAACAAAACTGTACAGTAGAATGTTGTCTGTCCAGTGAATGCAGCAGATTGAGTTTTATATCTTAAACATGTAATTTTCTGAGTGACTCGTGCATAAAAAACATACAAGAAAAACAAAAAGACAAAAAGTTGTATTTAAAGTTCTCTTCATTTGACACATTTGATACATTTGTAAAGATCCATCCATCCATTATCTTTACCCGTTTTTTCATTTTTGAGTCATGGGGGTCACTGGTGTCCATGTCCAGCTATCACTGTGTGAGAGGCAGGGGACACCTTGGACAGGTCTCTGGTCCATCACAGAGACACACAACCATTCACTCTCTCACTCACAATCACAATTTAGAGTTACCAATCAGCCTAACATGCATGTTTTTGGTCTGCGGGAGGAAACCGGAGTAGCCGAAGAAAACCCACGCATGCACGGAGAGAACATGCAAACTCCACCCAGAAACGTCATGGGCTGGGATTTGAACCAGCGACATTCTTGCTGAGAGGCAACAGCTCTACTAACTGAGCCACCGTGCCGCCGCAATGAAACATGCAAATTAATTAAAAAACACGAGTATAAGTGCAATGTTTCACACTTTCGGTGTTAAAATGAAAACCTACCCCGTTTATGTAATTTGTAACTTTGGCTCACTACCTGCTCTCTCCTGTGTCCTGCCACAGCCACTCGGTGCACGTGAAGGAGGAGCCCACTGAGGTGGAGGAGGACTGTCGGCCCGTCTCCCTCCTGGCCAGCATCGCACACAGCATGCCGCTGCCGAGCGACGAGCGCGACCTGGAGGAGGATCTTCCCACCGAGGAGCTGGAGTAGGACGGGAACTCACCAAGATCAACCCCGGAGCTCTTGCACCGGTGCGAAGCGGGATTAAAATCACAAAAGAGCAACGCTCAAGAGAAAAAAAAAAAAAGTTTTTTTTGTTCGTTTTAAAGAAAGTTCGAGCAACTACGAAATGACATTGGGGGGAAAAATTAAAAACTCAAAACAGGGTTTGATGACTTTTGTTACTTTTCAGACGCAAAAACAAGACTGTGGAGCACTGCTTTACCTCCGAGCGTTGCTCTCACGACGCTCGGCTCAGAGGTGTAACACCACTTACTGCATACACACGAAACCTGTGCGCACACACACACACACACACACTTGTGTTTACTTGTCAAACCACGTCTCGTCGTCCTCCCTGGATAAACCACCTTTTACGTAGAGATCCCAGGAGGCTTGGACACACGCGCTCCCTCTCCTGCTCATCCCTCCACCCCGGACACACCCTGCTCCGTTCTCTCAGTGGTCTCTGGCTGCCTGGCGAGCCTTTTTGTATCAGTTGAGAAGAAACAGAACAATACAAGCACGCGTAGGATCATGTGTACATAGATTCGGAGCGGTCACCGGGGGCAGGATACATCTCCTTCCTCCCCTCTTTGAGTCAACTAGCTTTTCCATGTTTCTTTTGGGTTTTGATTAAAACGAAAACCGATGGGCTTTGAGATGTAGAGGAAGGAAGAGAGCGTCCATCTTGTTTGTGAGGCTGACCCGGCTCCAACTTTTCAACATCAGCAAGACGTTTTCTGTAAGGGACATCTTTTGAACATTTTTACTTCTATACATAATAAAAGAAGACGTTTTCCTATCGCGACTACGGCCCAGCCCCCAGATGAAGACTGCAGGAAATGGACCGTTTGATGCGGTCTTTCGTTCTCCTTCGCCTGCAGGTGGAACGCTTCGGAGAAGAAAAAGAGAGGAGAGGCGTGACAAACGAGGGAGGAGGTGTCTGCAAAAACTTTGAGACTAAAAATAAAAAAATAGAATGAAAACTGTCAACGATTATGGAAAAATAAGAAAAAAGTGTGGTAGCTTTTGTCTTTTTTTTTTTATTATTATTATTTTTTATTTTACGTTATCTTTTTTTTTGAGGATCTCCGTTGTGGATTTCCGCTTTGACGTACCTCTTTTAAGGATGTTGTCTTTGTCTTTTTTATTGTAAGATGTTTTGATTTTACTCTGGTTGTTCACACCATTCCAAATGAATACTGGAGGGGGAACAAACAAAACAAAAAAGATAAAAAGCTGAAAAAACAACATAAACCGCAGTATTGTCCCAACTTTCCTGCCCCGTTCCTTTTCTGTCCCAAGTGTAGCAGGCAAGAAAATTGGAAAAAAAAGCACTTAAAAGTTGCAATTATCCAAATATTATTTAACCACCAAATCTTTTCTTGTTGTTTTTTTTTTTATTTTTTATTCTTTATCACATTCACGTGTTGTTTTGGTTGTGTATTTAGTTGAGACGTAACGCTTTAAAAACATATATAAATATATATTATAACTGCAGTCAGAGAATACCTCATCCCACTAAGGTTCTGCCTGGAACTGTGTCCAAACTGGGAGGGGGGGGGGAATAAACGAAGGGGGAATGCTTTCTGTGGGACACCAAATGTGGCAACTCTGCTCAGCCTCGTTTCAAATCTCTATGGGTGTAACAGTTACTGTGTTGAAGCTTTCTGCAATTCACTGTGTGAGTTTGTGTTAAAGGAATAGTACGTGAGGTTTTTTTTTTTTTTTACTACCAGTGTCAACAGTGCCATACCAAATTAATGTTTATTTTAATCGTTTATCTCCTTTTCCCTACTTTATTTTCGTTACAGGTAACCAAAGAAATATGTAGAAAACCAAAAAAAAAACCCTTTTTTTTAATTTCATTTTCTTAAAGAGCTGGCCAAAAGACAACAAACCATACGTTTTAACTTCCACTAATGTATTCATGTATGTTTTGTGTTGTAATTGCATTATTTTCAGTGCTGACCATTCCAAAAGACCAAAGTGTTGCAGAATTTGGAGACAGTTCAGATTAGGTAGGAGGCCACAAGTATTAACAAACGAACCTCGCACAGTTCCTGTGAGAAGTGAAAGAAAAGCACTTAAAGGTGAAGCCCTGTCTCTGCCATACACAGGCCCAGCTGTGTTTAAACTTTAACTTTGGGACTAAAATGCTGTACGCAGGCTGAACAATTGCTGCATTTAAATATATAAATTTGTTTCAGATGCCAAAAAGAGGCAAAAGGAGAAAAAAAAAAGTTTAAATTTCTGATATTTTTGATGTCAATTCAATGTAAAGATTTTTTTTTTCGTAAGTCACATTCTCCTGATCAGTATGTGCTCTTATTATTGTTTTTTTTTTTTTCAAACGAAGAAATTATTCCAAATAATTTTGAAGACGCTAATAAAGAGGGAATATTAAAATTTACAGATTAGACAAACAAGGGACTTAACGTTGCTTAAAGATGGGTTCACGTTCTCACACGTTTTGTCGAATGATGTCTTGCACTTCACGATTTCTTTCCGTTTCAAAAACCATTCTAGTTTAATTGTGTTCGAACGGGACCGGTCCTGTCATGTTTGACACCGACTGTCTTGCAGATTACATCAAAAAGTGGGATCTTGAAACGAGATAAACACCAAAAATAATGCTACCTCCTTGTAAAAGCTGTTTAACACATAGCCAGTGGGAAACTGAACTCTTGGGTTTTTTTTCTTCTAATTTCCATCAATGTTAATACTGAATGCCAAACCTGATTTTACACTTACCGTACGGCTGAAACAAAGAACTCGGACGAGATATTTGCTGATCTGAACACCCTCGCATGTCTTATTGAGCCCAAAAAACATAAAGTCATAATTTAGAATGCCTACCTCTCCTTAAAACACCTTAAACAGTGTGCACATCTGGTCATTAGCAGCTGTGTTGTTGCATAGAGCTGATTGTCAGAGGCAGCAACACACACCGAAACACTGACAAGTGACAGGAACTCCGACCATCCAAAGACCCACAACAACCATTTTCACCAAAACACTCACAAAGACACTGAAGGCAAACAAACCTGATAAAACTCTTCACTACTAAAGTCCAAACCAGGAGGAACTGCTGCATCCAGGCCTTTTCTTGACTTGTGCTTTAAGGTACACCTGTAAACAAAACTGTTTTCTAAAGATTGTTCGCAGGTCACACGCTTTCTTTTCCGTTTGGCATGAAACACATTCCTGTAAATTACTGCTCGGCTTGTCGTTCCCGTTCTGTTCTTTGAATTTTCTTTGTTTTTTCTGCTGTTTTAAAGCTTTCCACTCAAACTCCTATACTGTACTGCAAATGCTGAGTGTATGTATTTATCATATTAAGTGCTGCCGGTGTCTTGGTTTAATAGTTTTTTTTTGTTTGTTTTCATTTTTAGTTCTTTATAAAAACGTCTGGGACGCTGACTTTTTTTTTGTTTGTTTTTAGGTGTATTATCAAAAAAATTTTTTGAAAAGAAATAAATTTAGATCAGTGGTTTAGGTAACAGCTGTTTATATATGTATATTTATCTTAGCTAGATCTATTTTGATACATTTTTTTCTTTTTGGGTCTCTGTGTGCATTTATGCGTTTTTATGGAAAGGAAAAAAAAAAACAACAACAAAAGGAAAACAAACTTAAAAGTTTCTTCAATGTGTATTGATACCTCAGGAGGACTTTTTTTTTTCTTCTCAAAGACAGGACCAAAACCTCTGACAAGAAAAAGAACGAGGGGGAAAAAATGTAAGAATATGTAGCCCCTTTCTTGCATAAGAAGAAAAGATTATGCAGAGCTATAGAAAAGCATTGCTGTAGGTCCTTTCAGGTGCCAGTTTTTGTTCTTGCTCCATGTGACCCCTCCTCTAACCCCCCAACCCCTGTCATTCCTACGCTGAACTTCAACCCACAGACCTGTCAATCATCTGCAGGTGCCAAGGGGCTGCCGCCGAGTCAGAAACCTGGCCGGCGGCGAGGAGCTGAAAAACATGATCTCCCGGTCCGACAGACTGACACTGTTGCATTTTTTGATACTCCTCCTCTTGCTCAGCTCCAAAACCAAAATGTGGACTGGCTCTCGGAGATGCAGCTCTGACTACCAAAGGCATCGTGAGCCGACATCGCTTTGTCCAAACTCCTGAACTGTAACCAAACTGTAACCAAACCAATGCCACAACCAACCAAAAACAAAAACCAAGCTACTTCCAAAACTCTCCATCGACTTCACGTATCACTGATTCCCCTCATGCGCCCGCAGAACAGTCTTGTAGGAGCAGTCTACCTCCCACTGGCTGGTGTCTGACTCGAACCGACGGAGGGGGATCAAATCCTAATGTGTGATTGGACAGCTCTGAGGTGTCACGCAAGGGTTAAGGGACTTTCAAAAAGAGGAACATTTGCTTGATGCTATTATGACTTAAAGACAGCCAGAATCTGATGGAACTACCACTTTATTGATCCTCTGGTTAAACCTTAGGAATGTGTGTACATTTTCAGCAGTGACTATTGATTTTTAGTTGAGTTTCTGTTTACCTCTCTTTATTCTATTTTTTTGTTTTTTGTTGTTGTTGTTGTTGTTCCTTGTTATTTGAAAGTGTGACCCGAGGAAGAGGCGGGATCAGGAACTGGGTGCTTGCTTTAGACAGACAGATGAGCCCAGGCCTCTAACGCTCCTCCTCCCCCCAGGGTAGCCATGTAATGCCAGTCACTGCCCTTTTTCCTTCATGCTGTATAAAAACACACGACACAACACACACATACATATATCTGTGTATTTGTAACCTGAATCTTCTTGTGTCTGTCTATGCAGACAATAAAAAAACTGTACAGTAGGTCTAGTTGCATGTAATCTGTACTAATTATTGACAATGGCATTATAAAATGCAATAAAATACTTATTACACTGTCCTACGCCGTGTCCTTCATTTTTATTCCTTTGCATTGAGTTTTACACATTAAACTGCGCACACGCCAAAATACTTTGTATGTAGACTTCATTCATTGTATATCAATGAGCATTGAAGACTTATGAAGCTACTTTTTGCTTATGTCTGTTTCCTTAAATTACTTTGACCTGCACCTACAAGTGCAAGGACACAAATATTCTTCTAGAACACGTGTCAAACTCAAGAGCTATGGGCCAAATCTGGTCCCCCAAGATGA